ACTCGGAACTAGGTTGCGACTTAACTCACAAAATAAAAAAAAAAGATAAAAAAAAAGAAAGAAAAGAAAATGATCGTTGGATATATTCAACGGTCACATTGGTCCGACGCCTCAGATTTAATCTGGCCGTCTGGGGTGTCAACGGTCGACCTAGCCCAGCAAAAAAAAATACAAAAATGGGAGAAACCCAGACCCGTTTTCTGGCCCGGACAGACGAGTTGAGAATAACAAAACTAAAACCCGAAACTGGCTCGTCACTGTTAAGTGTATGATTCCCGAACACGTAGGTCCTGCCCGGGTCCGGACCGATTGAGAGCCGATTTGTGGGTCCGGGTCGACCCGGGTACACAAGGGCGAGAGGCTTCTTAGTAAATTCCCAATCTCCCCGAAATCCGCTAATCTAAAGTCTTTGTTGTGTTGTGTTTTATTTTCTTTTCTCGTTTTGTGAATTTATTTATTGTAATTTCATCAATGAAGCTCTACCGGTGACCAAACGCACCGTGAGAAAAACCAAAAGGTGAAAAAACAACACAAACATAAGAAGCAAAAGAATGTCAGCGCTTTCTGTTACTCCCGCAACTGTAGCTGCTTTTAGTTTATCCCAATCAAGAAAGCTTCACAAATCCAGTAAAAATTCCCCCAAAAGATTAGATTCACGGCTAGAATTTGAGAAACCCAGTAAAATTTTCGCCCAAAAATTAGGTTTTCGTGTGGATTTTCTGAAACCCAGTAAAAATTTTGCCCAAAGATTAGATTATCGAGTTGATTTTAACTGCAGAGACTCTGTATCTTGCGCTCGCCGAACCAAAACACAGAATATTATGATATATGGTGTTAATGGGGTTCGGGCTAGTACGAACGATGAGAGTATTGAGGTTTTTGAGCAGGAAGCTTTTGTGGATGGGTCTTTGAATCTCGGAGCTGGTCGACTCGAAGCTACTCTCAATAGCTTGGTTCGTGAAATTTTCTAACTTTTTTTATTGATAAAGTGTTCATCTTCTTTGTGAGCTGTGTTTATCCTCGTTGAATGCTCTTCATTATTTGGTTTGGTGCTCTGTTATAACCTTAACAATGGGTTGTGCTTAGTAATGATAACAATGGCAGAATTTGGTTTGGTAGCTGAGTTTTTATCTTGGTTCAATACGAAGAGATGCAAGCACTTGAGGATTATTAATTGACATATAGTCGAAATCTTGTGCTTACTCAGATGTCATTTACTTCAATACATTTGGTCGATGAAAAGGAAACTTTTTGCCTTCAGTGGATGAACAAAATGCATTCGGCTTCTGCTAGTTTTTGGTTAGATGTAAAGAAATGGCATCTACTAAAGTCTAGAAGTCGAAGCTTACATGGTTGTCGTACTCTTAAGAATTGCAAAAAAGATGAGATGATTTGTCAATAATTCGAAAGTATTTTGGTCAGGAGTTAAGGACCAAGTAATTCAAGAATGTCGTACTTGTCAAAAGTTTCAAAGATACTTAATACAAAAATAATACGACAATCATTTTAATTGACAAGCTACTATATGTGTAACTTGGTTCTCTTCTTTAGGAACTGAGTTCTGAATAATTTTATTTTATTTTTTCTAAATCATCTTCATGCACTTTCAATCTATAGACTCCCTAACACTCATATGAAGACATATGTAGCGGCAGATTCTGATTACATTTGTCTTGTTTAAAAGTGTTGAACAACTGAGGTGTTATTGCTGATGGATAAGAGTAAATATTTTTTGTGCTCACTTAAAAATGCCCCGAAAGTCTTAATGTGAAAGGTCTTTTAAAGATGTGAATGATGTTTAGATGATGTTGATCTTGCTGATTTGTGTTTCCTTGCTTTGTTGAATTAAAAAGGAGAGGTATAACTCGTGTAAATACAATTCCAAATGCCATTTTTGACATTTTCCCGAATGATCAAATTTTTAGTTGAAAACAGTGCCTCTATACCCTGAAGGCTACACACTTTAGGCTCACAGAATCTTGAGCTTTGAAATACCTTTAGAAAATATTGATATCATTGAAAATTGATTGGGTTTTGACACAATTTAATGAGCACATTCTGATTTTTGTTGTTTGCTGCACTTGACTCAGAGCAAGTGGCTCGTCTCGGCACTTTTTGCCGTAATTGTTCTGTGGAGGCATGATCCCGAAGTATTATGGGCAGCTATGGGAGCTGTTCTCAATGCTCAACTCTCGGTGGTACTTAAGAAGTTACTAAACCAAGAAAGGCCTATTTCTACATTAAGATCAGACCCAGGAATGCCTTCATCTCATGCACAAGCCATCTTCTACACAGTCTTATTTCTCAATTTGGCAAGTAAGTTTGGGTTATTTAATTCCCAATTGTTAGTTCATTTTAATTGATAAATGCTGCCTAGTCTATTTGTAGGATGGAATGTTTCTGAAGGTTGTATTTGATGTATATATTGTTAAATGCAGTGGTAGAGTGGTATGGGGTGAATGTGCTGACAGCCACTTTAGGCGGATTTCTCTTCATTCTCGGTTCTTATTTTGTAAGTACACGAATCGTTAGCTCGAATTCAAGAGTTTCACGAGCTTATTTTATCATTATAACAGCCATTGAACATTCTGATTATCACAAATACTTTATGCATTATTGACGAGTGTCGGTATGAAAAATTTATGAAAATTTTCCTGCATTCATAACTTTAATGGTGTAAATGCGGACGATTCTAAATTTTTTTTTGAAAAAAATTTTTTTGTGCAGTCATGGCTTCGAGTTTCCCAACAACTTCACACGGCTATGCAGGTGGTCGTTGGGGCCGTAATTGGGTCGTTTTTTTCAATTATTTGGTTCTTGGCCTGGAATACTTTTGTATTAGATGCATTTGTATCCTCGTTGTGGGTTAGAGTTGTAGTTATTCTGGGTGCGGTTGGGTCTTGTGTTGGTTTTCTGTTACACGTTATTCGTACTTGGATGGTGGACGAACGATGATCCCATCTAATCAGAATAATGTGGCCGTGAGCGGACCTTAATTACGAGAAGAAAAATATTGTTTTTGATAGTTTACACTTCTTTCTCTAAATGTAAGATTTGTATAAATCTCAGTTGCTTTAAATTCGCGTCCCGTTAGTGTCATCAAAACAAATATTGTTTTGATAGTTTGAGCATCATGAATGTGCCTGTTGAACCATCTGTTTAGGAAAAAAATGCCGTTGTTGTTCATCCTAGCTCGGTAGCCTAATGATCTTCCAAAACAGAAAAAATGTCACTGTATTCTCCAGAGTTTTTTTAGTTGTTTCTTGTGTGTGCTCTTGTTTTGTGTTGTGGGATATAGGCTATCGTTTTGGTAAGCCTCCGATATGAATTCTGCTGTATAACTGGTTCATTCGGCTCTTATTAATACAATCTATCATTTCAAAATATGAAATGGGAAGTATGAAATTTCGTTCAAATGATCAAAACTAACACAAGAGGATATACGAAGTTAAAACTGCTGCATTATACCAAGACGCGATTTATAGCCGAACTTGTCGTGTTTGGGCATAACTATCTCACGTCTTTTACAACCTGCTATGATTTATGGATGAAAAAAAAAAAAAAAAAAAAATTAGAGAATGGAACTGTGTATGAGAAATTGAATAGTCCAGCCTGATGAATCTGAGTTGCATCATTTGAGAGAAACAAAAAATTTTAGTCAGAGAGAAAATCTCATTTTCATTGAACAGAAGAATATCTTAAAATGTTCTGTTACAAAGTGAAGAAGAAAATGACCGTTTTGTATAACAAAGCAAACTAGCCAGTTTATACTGCGAAAGAACTAAACTACCCGAAGCTAAGAATATCTAAAACACCGAACGCTAAACTAAAGATTAAAAACAGCTTCTTGTAAGCATGATTGCCTGGTCATTCTTGTAAGCAACTCCAGCAATCTTGTTGCGTCTGTTAAGAACAGCCTGCAACAAACACAACACGCACCGCACAATCAGTCAAAAGAAAACATATAATCCGAACCACTATACATCAAACCGATTTGCATTGCTCCAAACGTAGGAAAGCAGAACAAGTTGCAGTATTAAATGTATATTGAAGCATATAGTAAAGAAAATTAATGGAAGAAAAAGAAAAAGTAAAGAGAAGTAAAAGTTACTTACCTGTATAGGATTCTTGAAATAACTTCTGACTAGGGAGTTTGTAAAGAAATCATCACCAGATGTCAGATATTGCCATTGACTTCTAGCACAGGTTGTTCACATACTGGGTTTTTCCCCCAAAATCTTCATAGTTATTAACCAAGCTTAATATCAGCTTAATCCCATATCTCCTAGCTTCAAAAACAAGTAAACAACAAAGTCAAGCCCCTTTTACCACCATATATAGTTCAAGATATCACCCTTCTTATTTTGAGAAGCAACAACATACAGCTCAACAACAACAACAACAACAACAACAACAACAACAACAACAACAACAACAACAGAAAGGAAATCTCAAGTTTAACGGGATACACATCACAACTGCCATTTGCTCACAATCTTTGACATTTACCAGCGAGTTAGGGTTCCCCTAACATCTTGTCTCTTTGAAAAGTTTTCAACATATGTATGCCCCTTTAGTTGCAGCCCAAACGCTCACATGGCTCAGCCGATAACGTCCATCTTTCTGACGCTAGTAAGAGTTTTTTTTTTCTTAGTTTAGTCTGACTACACAAAATTTAAAACCGATTCTCAAAATTGCATGGTGAGTGACAATATGCGAACTTGGTATGTAAGAGAAAATGCACCTTGTCTGGTGGGCTATTGGCCAAGTTGCTTGGCCATATCACCTCCCAATTCCACAATTGAGCAATTTTTTAATGTCCCTTCTCCACAACAAGTAGAAGGAACTTCAATTTTTTTCTTGTTAAAAACAGATGAGAACTCTTTTGCGCCCCACACAATTTAGTCGAGTACTGTACTGCCCAGTCTGTACTGAACCACAATGCTCAGCTCCAAGATATACCATTGCGTTAACTACAGAAAAACCTTCGGCGTTTTTAATCCTCAAACCCAAAACCATCAAAAAAACACATTCACTTCTTCAAACCCCCACCATATCATCCCCATATCCTCCGAAAACACACACATTCGAATCAACCTCATCGAAACTCAACTCCTCACTCGAATACACCAACCCCAACACCCCATAAACCTCCTCACACCTCGGATGATTTCTATCCCCTGCAACAAAAGCCGACACTTGGTCCTTCACCTTCAGCCACGACCACCCGGGCTCCTTCACCACACCCCTCGACCTCATCAACCGCCTCACCCCGGCCGCCTCCCTCCACCTCCCGCCAGCCGCGTACATATTCGCCAGCGTGATGTGGGCCCCACCGCACTCCGGGTCCAGCCGAATCACCTCTTCGGCCGCGACCCGCCCGCGCTCCACGTCACCACACTCCCGGCTGGCACGCAGCATGCTCGACCAGACCACGACGTCCTTTTCGAACGGCATGTCTCTCATCATCCTCTCGGCCTCCTCCAACCTCCCGGCCCGGCAAAGGAGGTCGATCATGCACCCATAGTGCTCTTTACTGGGGTAAATTCGGTATTTTTCGGTCATGGAGTCGAAATAGCGGGACCCCAGCCCGAGAAGCCCCGCGTGGCTGCACGCGCTGAGAACGCCGATGAAAGTCACCGAGTCAGGCCGAAGGCCCGCGTCCGGGATTCTCTCGAATAATTCGATAGCTTCCCGGCTTAACCCATGCTCCGCGTATCCATTGATCATGGCTGTCCATGAGACTATATCGTCGTTTAGGGTAAGGGAGAAAACCTTCGCCGCCTCCAAAATGCAACCACATTTCGAATACATGTTTATAAGGGAGCTCAGGATCATGGCTGTTTGGTCGAGGCCAACACACAAGACGTACGCGTGGAGCTGCTTTCCCTGATCGAGAATGGCCATGCTACCGCACACGCTCAGCACACTCGAGAGGGCGAACTCCGTGGGCCTCGGGCCTTCTTTCCTCATCCGTGAGAACAGCTTGAAGGCCTCCTCTGCGTGGCCCCCCTGAGAATGGCCTGCAATGATCGTGCTCCAGGAGATT